TGATATAGTTTTTGATAGAACCCCAGGGCCGTAGCCAACATGGCTTTTGGTAGGGGGGGGGGGCAATCCCTCGCTCCCCCTTGCTACGCTTGTAAACCCAATTACAATAGACTAGATGCGAGTAGAAATGATCTTGATTTACGTCATTAAATATTCAAAATTCAGTCAAAGTGATGTCATATTTGAAATCTACATGTAAAAATTCATCATAAAATATGGTTTCGAAAATTATATATCAACTTTGAAAATTTAATATTTTTTGAAAATGAGACATGTAGTTCGGGTTGATTCCCCATAGACCCCATATTACAAAATCACAAAAATTGAAATATATTTTCTTGTATTGGACATATAACTTTTACTGGACATAGTTTACTTTGCATAATTATTCGATGCATAAGGGCTACATAAAAATTGAACCACTAAAACAGATGTAATTTAAGTCAAAGGGAACTTTCTACTATACTATCTGACCCGAGCGAGCCACCTGGTGGTGAAACTGGTAACTACCTACTCGCATTTGCGTTATTCCCAAGACTTTATTAATCATTATATGTGCATGTGTGAAAATGAGCTTGCATGTAGAAATTGCATTGTATTCAAACCTTCCCCCGACCGACCCGGTCATGTTTATGTCTTTTGAATGATGACCCCTCGATGCATGCATCTGTTAAGACGTGGGTACGGAGGCAATGGTGAAGGGTACTGTCATAAATATTGTTTTAACACATAGGCGTAGCCAGGGGGAGCGGTGAATAAATGACATTATGATCGCTTCTAGTTTTTTGAAGGGAGTTGCATCAAGTTTTGTAGAATTCAAGATAAATCTTAATTTTTGGCTTGTCTATGCCACAATCGCAACCCCCCAACCGAAAACCGAATTTTTTGACGATCGCTCCCCCTGACTGAAAGCTGGCGACGCACCTGTAACATTTATTCAATTGATATAGCTAGAAAATACTAGATGATTGTTTTGGCATTTTGAAAATAATGGTCTTGTTTCTTTATTTTTGATGTGTTCTTGTCAGCGTTTCAGCGATTGGTGTTCTTTTAGGAATGGATTGAACTACGTAGGGTTCAAGGCAAGCAAATCTCGATACAGGCGCTAACTGTGTTAAGGCACAATAACCTTAAATTATTTTACAACAGAAGTATATTCATTTCAGATTTCAGAACTTTTTAAATTACATTGAAATAAAATGATAGATCCCAACAATGTATTTTTATATATTGCTGTAAGGAAAGGTCACTTTACCAATCTCATGTTTCTTGTTAGAAACTTAGAAATTCTCAAACGTCATCATAAAAAACAGCATTATATGCCAGCAGATGAGAGTATTCTATCCAAAGATGGCGATGTAGTATACCATTGAAGTCTCAAAACAGGTTTAAAGAGAACTACTTTCCTCATACCACGAGAAAAACAAACCGAGTAAGGATAGTACCCCGGGGATAGTACACTCTAATAGGGTCATGGTTGACTTAATATCCATGTTGTTTGATGTTCATTTGAATGTTAGGGTTTTTTGAAGTGATTTCCAAACTTTCAGTCCAATCCCTCCAGCCTTTTTGATTTATATGGTTCTTCTGACCCCTTGGGTGATTATATTTTGTCATACTTAATTCAAGACTGAAAGTGGATATTTTCTCAGAAAAATGACATATTGGAGAAATGTTCAGTACATTTTGCGTTATCCACAAGACTTCTATTCTGTGCAATGGTAAATGCAGCAATATACGCGAAATCAGTCAGCCGTGAGCGTGCAAAATTCGATTTCTGGACAATTTTGGGGTAATTTGGGGGGATTTTGAGCCCTAGTGATGCTAATAGATTAAAAAGCTAGGTAAAATCGTAGCAATTGCAAAAATAATTTGTTAACTCTCGTTAGTATGACTATTTGTTTATTTGGAAAATAGAAAGCCATTAAATTTTCGTTTTTCACAAAATTCTGATGACTAGACCAACTAGCATTGTCTTTGATGTAAGTGAAATGAATCTGTCTCTCTTTGAAATGGGTTTTTGGTTGGTATAAAAGTGTCAAAATGTTAAATTTTCACATAGTGTGACACATTTGAGGTATTTATCTTTTAATAGAGCAAGAACTGCACCAAATCCTCTTTTAAATTGGCAGCTACATGTATGTAGTCATTTAAGCTACGATTTTCAGTGAAAAACGAAAATATCAGAATTTAGATAGTCGTCTCCAGTAGTTAAGGGGTTAATTTGCAAAACTTCAAGTTGTCACACAGAAAGACATGCGAAATGGGACTAAATTCAATATATTTTTTCGAAATTCATTGAGAAATGTAGTTTCTAATAGGTAGAACTCTCCTTACTTTTTGTACCATTGGGATGCATGTTCAATTGACAAATGTCGAATTAGAATTTCTCAAATCTCAGCCCATCGATTTTCAAAGAATTTAAGAGCAATTCAGCGAAGCATCTCACCTCCATGTCAAAACAATTTCAACAAAAATATCCCACGAAAATCAAAAGTCTTGCTCTCTTACATAATACGTGTACCAAAACGTCATTATATTAATTAGTACTCTAAAATTTTGGTTTCACTTGAAAAAGTCACCAACTGATTCATATTCATTCATTTTTAGTAAGCATGAGGAAGACTCACATGAATCAGGGCATTGGAGCTTCTTTTCATTTATCACTCGGATTTTCTCAATATCCAATAAAAATATTGATATACAAAAAATCGATACATGTGATAAAGTCAAAATTGATAATTTAATTAAATCTACAATGACAAATTTAGAAAAAGAATACAAAAGCATGTTTATGCAAGACATCAATAGACCAAATGATGCTCCGGGTAAATTCAGAAGCTATAAACTAGTAAAACATGCATATAAAAGAGAAAGTTATCTTAATTTACAGAACTCTACCTGTAGACAATCTATTTCTAAGGTACGGTTATCGATGCATAACTTCCCAATTGAACGAGGTCGATACTTCAAAGTAGAAAAATCGCAACGATTTTGTTTCTTCTGTAATTCAAAAAATACAATAGGTGACGAAGAACACGTTCTTTTTTGTTGTTCTCAATCAGAACTAAAACTAGCTCGATCTTTATATATCAGTAAAATAAAAAGTATAAACAATAGTTTTTCTCATTTTAATACAAGTAGTCTATTTTTATACTCCTTGTTAGCGCACGATGATGCAATTAATGAAATAATTGGTGGTTATTTTACAAGAGTTCATAATATTACCAACGAGTTGTTAAACAAAATTGACGTGAAATCATTTATGCTATTAAGTATAGTACTTAGTGATTGTTAAAATTAGATTGTAAGTATTGTTTTGCCATGCATGTACATGAATGTTTTATTTGTTATTTGCTTTATTGGACTTACATCTCGATGTACATTACATATTCAAGAGACCAATAAACTTATTAATAATTAATGTACATTGACCAATTCACCACTACCAAGGTCATCCATCCGCAAAAAATAATCCCAAATATATTTACCGTTCATTGTTATGATCACGTGTTTTCCAGTTATTCTTGGTATTATATGCCAGCAAATGAGAGTATTCTATCCAAAGATGGTGCTGTAGTATACGAAGTCCCAAAACAGGTTTCTAAGAGAACTACTTTCCTCATACTATGAGATAAACAAACCGAGTAAGGAGAGTACACTCATCTACATGTTCATTATCACTGCTAAGTATCAAGCGAAGGTTACGGCCTTCGCATTTAATATGGCGGACATGAAGTTTTAATTTGGATGTTTTTATTTTTCATGGAATTAACATTTTGAAAGTTGACGTAATGCTTTGAAATCATTTGAACTAAACCAGGCTTTTCTCATATGACTAACAAAGATAGCCCACAACCATCTTTACCCCATACAAGATATTGCATCTTTCATCCTTAAAAATCACACGTGAAAGATGAGATTTACTTGTGACATCACTTGTTTGAAAGCATCAATAACATAGCGAAAAATATACTGAGTTTTTAGGTTCTTAATGAATGGTTGTTTGCTGAATCTTCGCCCTTTCTAAAGTGTGTAGTTAACAAATACATATTCTCATAAAAATAATCCATACTCTCAGACGGCAGAGAAAATAATAACCAAACGAAATGTGAAGAAACAACCATTTTCATTTGGGTCGATTATTTGGGCCGATTCGCTCGGAAAAATCCAAGCAGTGCTCGTGTAGCATAATTAAAAAGTTAAAACTATGCATATCTAAGAGAATGCTGTTTTTATTTCACATGAAATCGTATTTGTTTTCATCAGATTAGTTTTTTTAAAACTCTTGTCATAGTTTTTGCTTCAAAGCAGTCAATTTGCGTCATCGTACAGAAAACTGTACTCCGCTGTTTTTTGACGCTGTACGGTGACGATGATTAGGCGTGATGTAGTGTTAAAATAGATCGCATGCATATAGATAAATAAATACTTAAATACAAGGATCTCATGCCTCGTGCACGCAAAGGCACGCAGAAACATCCAGAATAGTTGAGTTACGACAAAACAGTACACTGAAGAAGTATTGTACTGTACCAGAGGAAATGTTTTACTACGCGTACATCATTGGGTTCCTTTTACTTTTTGGCCATGCGGGGATGAGTCAAGAAAGCAATAAGGACGTCGTTTTAAAATTTCTCAACACGACAGCGAGTGACCTTATTCAGCAATTGAGCAGCGATGAGCTTTTTCGTCGTCTAAGAAATGCTGAGAGGGATACAACTGCTTACCTTGATCTCAAAATCGAAAAAGAAGAGAGTGAGGAACTGAAAAAATCGCTGAAAATGATTCGCAAGATACTAAACAAAATGGAGCGTTTCGAAAGTCATATACGGAAGATCACCAGGCTAGGCTTGAAGAAGTTTCTTAGAAAATTAATAACCAGAACAAATGGATCTAAGGCATTTGTAAAAATGACAAGAAATCTAATTAAAGATATTTCAAATATGAATACGAATACGAGCGGAAACACATTCCAGGGGCAAAGCAATGAAATTAAGACCCTTAAATCAACAATGATAAATTACAAATCTGCCTTACTGAATGAATCCATGACAGAGAATGTCGAAGAAGTTATACACAATTTTGACGAGATTGTCGAAGCGATCGAGACGGCGATTGAACTGTTGAAGAGTTTTTCCAAAAGCTATGCGTTTGTGAAGAAAAATCTAGACAAAGTTCGTTTTCCAGGTAAGTTTTCAGTTCATGGACATATTTGTTTTATTAGAGCTTTTACATTTTGGCGATCATGGTTTGACAAGTAGAACTAAGATCATCTCTATTATTTAGTTAAACCAAGTTGTACAACTGTAGGATCAGCAGGCCCGTAAGACACTTTTCTCCGAGGGGGGTGCGGTTTTTACTAAAGAGAATGTAAAATTGTCAATTTTTTGCAGCGTAAATCAAATCACGTATATGGGAGGGGGTCGGTTACTCCCTATATTGGTGATTTCTGGACACTTTTAAAGTCTTTAGAATTAACAAATGCAACTTCCAAACGTTCCAATTGTTTTGTGGGGGGTGTGAGGAGTGATCCACTCCCCCTAGAAAATTTTACAGTTTTGAGATGCTATTTGGTGCTTTCTGGGCACTTTCAAAGTGTATGAGTCAATAAGAAAAATGTGATTTTTTCAAATTCTTTTGGGGGTGTCAAAGAGGATGAGAGGGTGAAGTGGGGTGGGGTGCCAGAGGGGGAGCAAGGGGTTGTCCCCAAGAAACATTGACCATATCAAGGTGCTATTTGATGATGTCTGGGCACTGAAAAAATGTCTGAGACAGAGACAATACATGAAATTCAGAATATTTTCTTTTGTTTTGTGGGGGATGTGAATGGTGGCTAATCTCCTAGAAAATTTTACGATTTAAAGATGATATTTGGTGCTTCTGGGCACTTTTAAAGTGTATTAATCAATAAAAACAAGTGCAATATACAAGAGGGGGAGCAAGTGTTAGTCCCCCAGAAACACTAACTGTATCAAGGAGCTATTTGATGATGTCTGGGCACTTTAAAAATGTCTTGAGACAAAACACTAAAATAAATTTAGAAAAGGGGGGTGCGGTCAAAGGGGGGTGCGGTCGCACCCATCGCACCCCCCCATCTGACGGCCCTGTGATCATCTAAGGATGACCTCATTAGACTTTGCAATCTCCAGACGTTTCGTTCAGAGTAATCGACTCGTTCCATGCATCATGGGAGATATATATGTAAATTACCATCTGAACTCTTATCTCGAATATGTCTATCATCTCTCTCTTCAATACAATGCGTATCAAAAAAACGCAACAGATTGTTATCTTGGAAAAGCACAAAACCAGTGATAACAGCATTGATTTCATTCAATGCACCATAAAGCCATGTGTCTCCTCTTTACAATGATATATCTTTCATTGATATTTGGTCATGGTTGGGCGAGTAATCATTTCATTTTCAAAGTGGGCCAAAATTAGCTTAGGGCCAAGTTATAAACATTGCAAAAGTCAGTGTACGGAGCCCGATGCAATATTGGATGAAAACATAAAACCAATGCTGACTGCATCCTTTTAATTCAATGTACCAAAAGCCAAAATACTCCTCTTTGTTATTGAATATCATTCATTCACAGGGAGTCATCTCTGGCCGAATAATCATTAATTTTTCAAAGTAGGGCAAATATCAGCTCGGACCCAAGTTTAAAACATTGTAAAAGTCAGTACAAGGGGCATAGGGGCTATTGGAAGAAGATGTGACAGGTATGGCATAGACAGTAAAGTGTTCATACTCATACTCTTGCAAGAATACATCCTTTACCCCTCCAAATTGTCACCACTTCCTTGCACATAAAGATGCACTCATCTGTCCACGTCATGCATGGTTCAGCCCTGAATCATATGTGGGTTAAATCAAGAAAAGCAGCCCATGGGCAAATCTTTTTCGAGATTTTGCAATATCTGGTGGAGGAATTGTGAGCACAGATGCTCCTGTGATGCTCCAAAAGAAAAAGTCACAACAATTCAAGTCAGGGGAACTTCCATTGGCACTTAGCCCTTGCACTGATTTTTTCAATATCTAAAACTTCGTGCAGAGCCGATTTTGACCCACTGTGCAAATGGAAGGATCTCTACCCAGCCATTACGACATGTGAATGAATCACATATCATTACAAAGAGGTGAGACGTGGCTTTATGGTGCATTAAATGAAATTGATGTATAGTCCTCACTAGTTTTGTGATTTTACGAGATAACTACTTGTTGCGTTTTTTTTTGATACGCCCTGTATAATTGCTATTTGAACAAGGCACTAACGTGACAAAATGTCACCACCTCGTTAACAGTATTATGAGTTCTAATCTTAGTCAACTTCTGAGAATTTGTAGCCAATCTTGAAGTGAATAAAAAATTTGGTCAATTTGAAGCAAGTTGAAAACAGACCTTTTTGACCTTTTTTGACCTTGAGAAGGTCATTAAAGGTCAAATGTCAAATCTAAAGTCAGATTTGAATTTCTGAGAACATGTAGATGATTTTGAAAAAAAAATTAGTCAATTTGAAGCAAATTGAAAAAAGACCTTTTTGACCTTTTTTGACCTTGAGAAGGTCATTGAAGGTCAAATGTCAAATCTTAAGTCAGATTTATATTTCTGAGAACACGTAGATGATTTTGAAAAAAAATTTAGTCAATTTGAAGCAAGTTGAAAACAGACCTTTTTGACCTTTTTTGACCTTGAGAAGGTCAATGAAGGTCAAATGTCAAATCTAAAGTCAGATTTGAAGGTCAAATGTCAAATCTAAAGTCAGATTTGAATATCTGAGAACATGTAGATGCTTTTGAAAAAAAATTTAGTCAATGTGAAGCAAGTTGAAAAAAGACCTTTTTGACCTTGAGAAGGTCATTGAAGGTCAAATGTCAAATCTAAAGTCAGATTTGAACTTCTGAGAACATGCAGATGATTTAGAAAAAAATTGAAGTCAGTCTAAACAGTATTTGTTAAGTTATAGGAAGTTGTAAGAAATTGTTACAGACGCCGGACGCCAACCGCCAACCACCAACCGCCGGACGCCAACCACCAACCGCCGTCGCAAAAAACGGAGACCATAACAATATGTCACCACTTTTGCTAAAGTCAGATTTGAATTTCTGAGAACATGTAGATGATTCTGAAAAAAGAATTTGTCAATGTGAAGCAAGTTGGAAAAAGACCTTTTTGACCTTGAGAAGGTCATTGAAGGTCAAATGTCAAATCTAAAGTCAGATTTGAACTTCTGAGAACATGTAGATGATTTAGAAAAAAATTGAAGTCAGTCTAAACAGTATTTGTTAAGTTATAGGAAGTTGTAAGAAATTGTTACAGACGCCGGACGCCAACCACCAACCGCCGGACGCCAACCACCAACCGCCGGACGCCAACCACCAACCGCCGTCGCTAAAAAACGGAGACCATAACAATATGTCACCACTTTAAAAAATTGAAGTCAGTCTAAACAGTATTTGTTAAGTTATAGGAAGTTGTAAGAAATTGTTACAGACGCCGGACGCCAACCACCAACCGCCGGACGCCAACCACCAACCGCCGGACGCCAACCACCAACCGCAGGACGCCAACCACCAACCGCCGTCGCAAAAAAACGGAGACCATAACAATATGTCACCACTTTTGGTGTTTACATAAAAAACGGAGACCATAACAATATGTCACCACATTTGGTGGTGACATAAAAACGGAGACCATAACAATATGTCACCACTTTTGCTAAAGTCAGATTTGAATTTCTGAGAACATGTAGATGATTTTGAAAAAAAATTTAGTCAATGTGAAGCAAGTTGAAAAAATACCTCTTTGACCTTGAGAAGGTCATTGAAGGTCAAATGTCAAATCTAAAGTCAGATTTGAACTTCTGAGAACATGTAGATGATTTAGAAAAAATTGAAGTCAGTCTAAACAGTATTTGTTAAGTTATAGGAAGTTGTAAGAAATTGTTACAGACGCCGGACGCCAACCACCAACCGCCGGACGCCAACCACCAACCGCCGGACGCCAACCACCAACCGCCGGACGCCAACCACCAACCGCCGTCGCAAAAAAACGGAGACCATAACAATATGTCACCACTTTAAAAAATTGAAGTCAGTCTAAACAGTATTTGTTAAGTTATAGGAAGTTGTAAGAAATTGTTACAGACGCCGGACGCCAACCACCAACCGCCGGACGCCAACCACCAACCGCCGGACGCCAACCACCAACCGCCGTCGCAAAAAACGGAGACCATAACAATATGTCACCACTTGTGGTGGTGACATAATGATACTAGTTATCACTTCCTTCTTCAGTTAATGTATGTATTGGTAAGTATTAGCAATGTATGCTAGCCCGACTAGTGCTTGGGAAGATACACGTTTTTTGGCAAATCGTATATGTTTAACGCCTTGAACTAATACCTCTAAATTTATCAATTTTTTTCTTCACTTACATCACTTTCATCACTTACATTAGTCGAAAATTGATGATTTTGATGATTTTTTGAAAATCGACATTCCCACGTTAACTTTTATGAGAAATGGTAGGTTTGCCGCAGGTCATATGACAGAATATCCATCCATCCGAATCCCTGCAAAAATACGAATTGGGCAGGCAATTAAATTTGCTGACTTTATTTAACAAATTTTATTCATAAAAAAAAAAAATTAACAAAGGATTGATATGTTTCTTCAGGTTCAACAAAGTTTAAGGGCTTTTAAGTAAAATTGATTTTCAAAAACCTTCTCCCATTGAAATAACTCAGGATGCGAAATATTATTTTCAAAAATGACTATGAAGCGCTGTAACTTTAGTATTCAACAAATAAACTAAACTTTCAGTGTATACAAAAGACAATTCAATTTTTCACATAAAAATATTTTTTGCTGAATCTTTTACTGCAAATATATCCCGATTTCTGATTTGCTTCGAACCCTCCATTTCCCATTGGATTACATGGGAATCACGATTTTCGAAAATTCATCAAAATCATCAATTTTCGACTTATTGTAATTGAGGAAAAAATAGAAAATTTGGAGGTATTGGAAACAAAGTCAAGCTACGTTTCCATCAATATCTATATAAGTTATTTCATCGCCGATTAAGTAAATAAAAAATCAAACGTAAAGAGGCTTTAATACGTAGTTCAGTGGGAGAGCTAAGGCTGCCAAACTTATGGAGGGGGATGTTAAAAGCCAACTTCGACTTGAAGGTTGTTCGTATCCTGTATCAAGTTATTCTGGCGCCAAATGTAGTTTGTTGTCGCAAACTACAACGAAGTATGAACTAAAATAGAAATATACATAAGTTTCACATTTGCACGCATTTAAATAACGAAGCCGTACAGTAATAAATATTACACTTTGAAAAGCAAACCCTCATTAGATCCTGGGAGTCTGCTCTTGCATCTGTAAAAATTTCAAGTTGAACAGGTTAGCGGTTTTTCTGATATGTTAATGTCAAAAATTGATTTTTAATTGTAAATTGTAATAAAAAAATATTTTTGAAATTTCAAATGTCATTGATCGGAGGTCAACACGTCATGTAAAATTTCAAATCTTACGTCAGATTTGAATTCTGAGAACTTTTAGATGATTTAAAAAAGGTTTGGCCAATTAAAACATTTAAAGTAGCCGATTTATCAAAGATTTCAAAATGGCCCTCGTGTTATTTAGCCAGCATACCCAAAACCAGATCTTGGCACTAGTCTGCTCTTGCATTCGATAAAATTCAGGTTGAACGTACATTTGGCTTCCATCGAATTTTGATTACCTCGAGCAAATGTTTAACCCTAAGGTGTTAGTTTATAATAAAATTGCGTTAGAGAGGGTTTCAAACGACATATACGCAATTTTACAACAACACCACAGAGGGGGGGGGGAAACACCAGGGTTCAAAGATAACATACGCTTATAATGTAAATCTGTAATTGAGATGACATCGTCGCTGATTGGTCAAAAGTCGACAAACAAATGACGTCATCAATGGCGGTTTTGAAATTTTCGAAATACGCTTCGAATAATATTATGTTCATTTCTGGCGTGTTAACCAATATCATAGCTTCTCATTTCACATCAAGATAAAGAAAGGTGTACGGAATATGCCTATATCAATTAAAACATCCCATCGAAGTGAAGTATTTGATAACTTGCCGATGAAAATTCGAACGAACGAAGGTGGTACGCAAGAGAGGTAACTATGTCTGTCATCTTTAAACTCTTGGGCTTTCCCTCCTCTTAACACCATGAACACTGTGCATGGAATTATTACACCAAAAGTAGTGCAAAATGGCCTTTTCACGCGTTGGCATAAAGTTTTGATGACATTTAAAGACATAGTTCCTCTTTCACGTACATGTATATTATCTCATGGAAATGGGCATACCAGCGCAAAGATCTTTGTTCCGTGGTGAAGAAAAGCCATCAAACATTGTCTGAAGAGCAGATTTATCTCCGTAATTCTACTTTTAACATGGCGACCTTGACCTTGAAAAAATATAGCCATTTGGGCGATAATAGGTGATTCAAAAGTGAAAATGAGTGCTTTTTTCGTAGTTTTACTTTGACCAAGCCTAGAAAAAAATCGAAGTGGTACTTACCCCCAATTTTTGATATTTTTGCTGTCTAGAAGTGTCCTATATGATATCAAAGTTTAAGAAAATTTGTATGTCTAGAAATATTTTATAAATTAGTGCCAATATGGTAGGTTTGGGTGCTTTTTTGCTCTCATTTTTTACCCCATTTCTACGGTCCCATGGCAACTATTAGGCTTTGGTAAGCATGCCAACTTGATTTTTGAAGGACATCCACCTGAGAGTAGTTGGGCCAAGTTTGATGGAAAATGGGCCTGGTTTGATATGCTGGCAGTGAGGTTGATTGTGGCATGTAGTAAAACGGCAAAACAATGGTGGAGTCATACCGCATTGATTTTCGGCAATATGATTTCCTAAATACGACAGAAATACGAGCGACTTCTTGATTTAGAATTGTGAACACTTTACAGCATTAAAAAAACTCCGAACATTTAACTATTTTATTAATATCTTCGGAGAACGAGAATCAAATTGACCCATCTTTACTTTTTGATATGTTTGGATGTTTTCTAAGAGGTCCAGGTACTCAGACCTTCACAATTTAAAGATCTTAATCAGTACAAAATGTTCGGATTTTTTCTACTTTTGCCGTTCGGTAAATTACAACCTCGTTAAAAGTAAGCATCCTTATTTATCAATACAATTCATTACAACACTGCAAACATCTCCTTCACACGAGCCTTCATTTTTTATCTCTTGTTTGGAATAACTTTCTCAATAAAGAATCAGCCTATAAAGTTCGATCCTGCGATAATTGTATAAAGAAATATTCAAAAATAAAACATAGAGTCAGGTTAATCTTATGCTTGCATACTGTGTAATATGATTTATGCAAAAATGTCACATGGGTTATTGATGGGACGTTGAGGTAGAGGTTGAACACTAAATATAACCTCATCAATGTACATACATTGATTCCTGGCTGAGATGCTCAAATCGACCTAGGGGAAGAGGGCTTGCTAACAGCTGGTTATATTCATAATTGTAGTTATATCTTTATTGTCATTTAAACATACATGTTTTTGCATATTATAATTATGATAACCCCTCGTATACAACTACATTGAAAATAGATAACAAATCTTAATCAGTATATTAGCAAGACCTTTTGGCATGATTTCGTTTCTTAATTTCAGATGTACCCCATTGGGGCGAATGGGGAGCTTGGAGCAAATGCCCTGGTGTGACGGAACGATGTGGTGTGAGGTTTCGTGAAAAGCTGTGCATAGATGAGAGTGGAGCATGGCAATTGGGAAAATGTATCGGCGAACGACCGACTGAACAAGGAAACTGCAATTGTAAATCGCCGACAGAACACACCGGTGGGCGATCCGCCGGTTTTCAAACCTATAAAGTGCGAGATGTGAAGCCATACTCGTACATAGTATCGATTTCGAAAAACGTTTCTTATTCTGGAGAAGCTACCGGACATTTCTGTGGTGGTATAATAACTTCCGACACACGGGTCATGACTGCTGCACATTGTGCCTGTATTAATGGTTATTGTTGTTCAGAGAATAAGTTCCTGTAAGTTTTTTAGGAATCTATACTAGTAATCGCAGTTTCAGCTCCACCAAAAGCTTTGTTGCTGTTTTAATGTTACCCTTCTAATTATTAGAATATAGTCCGGAGTAGGGATACTATTGGTTATTTGGTTTTCTGTATAAAAAAGCCTTTTCTCCTTTTCTGTCCCGTCGCAGCGCCATCTAGTGTTTGATAAATGAATCAAGGTTTATTCTCGATAGGGTAAGTACTAATCTATCAGGAAACATTTACAAGTTTGGTTAGAAACAGAATTTTTATAGATGGCGGAGTGATTTTTGAGACTATGTAGAGCAGAATAATTTTCTGAAACAGGTAGCTTTACGGTGGTAGCTCTCTCCAGATTCAGTTATCTCGAAAACGGTGTGGTCACCGTATGCTAATTTTGTAACGGCAAGCTAGACAAGACTCCAATGAACACTGGGCACTGTTTCGCTGAGCTAGATCTGTGCCCATGAATATATTATGAAATGAAACGTTATAATGGTCGTCAATGGGATTTTTTACTGCAATCTTGACCCTATTAGTATAGTTTCCATATAGCTTTTGAAATCTCGCTAAATCTCGTTTTTCGTGAGATTTTAAGAGACTTGCATATTAGACCTCTAATGACTTACATTACCTTCTTTTAAATGGTATATTTGAATTCAGTGGAATGTTTTCTCCTAAAATAGCTTTGATTTACACAGTTATGTAATTTGAATAATTTTCTATGACAATTTAAAAAAAGTTGGGCCAAATGTCCATAGATGCAATGCTAAAATTCTTTAAAACCGTGGATTATTTGTATGTCAATCAACATTAGCATGTTTAATCACAACATGTTCATAAACAGTGTCATCATGTGGTATATCATTCAAGTTTTATACAGATTCAACAAACACACTTTGATAAATCATGAAATTAAGCCACTTTTCCAAAATTTTAGCATGTAAGTGAATGGAGCTCTAGCCAGAGTTAAAAGCTGAATAAAAGATGGCAGTACGAGATTTCATTGATTTTTCTGCTATTTAGAAACTATCCTATTGGTCTTGCGCCGTTTTATTTTCAGAACTTCAAAATGTGATTTGAAAAATTGGAAAATAAGCGCTGGATTATTGAAACCACATGCAAAGAAGATTGATGAAAACGGTCAAGTAATGGAAGTTGTCAGTGTTGTGATCCATGAGAATTATACAAAAAATGCAGAAGGCCTACCAGAAGAAAATGACATCGCAATGATCAAAGTCAAAGCGACATTTAACTTCACAAAACCTAATGTTCAACCATGCGATCTCCCGACAAGTATTTGTAGGGGTTCTAATGACGAGAAATGTGAACGACATTCAGCTTGGCAGCAATGGGACTGCGAAATAGCAGGCTGGGGTCAATACAAAGCTTACAGTAAGAAGTCTATTCTTCGCTTCTTTTTGAATGAGTACTTCATTTTAGAATCTGAATTGCATATTATATTGCATGTACGCGTGTTCTCATATTTTGGCGTGCTGTTACACTTTGAAACAAAGGCTATCCTACCTCGATCGCGCATGAGCGAGATTTTTTTCAGTTTCGTCAAGGGCATTTTTGAGTAAATTGACTGCCACTCTGAAAGCTTTGAATGTTTTGAGTAAGGAATTCGTCCATATTGTTACTCATTCAATTCCAATTGTAAATTAGTTAACTTCATGTCCAAAAATATATGTCTGTACCAAGGCACGCCATTTTAAACGTTGATCTGTACAGGGTGCAGTCCATGTAAATTCTTTAATAGTACAGGGCGCTTGAAAGTATAAGCTGATATATTCATAATGATTTAGAGGTCTTATACCAAAACAAATTCAGAGATAGTCAGTGATATATACAAGTGCCGATCAAAAATTTTTACCGTTGGCTCTAAATTTTATAACAAGCGGAGTTGGATGCTCAAACTTAAACATGAGACAGGATAGATAGTTTGCTTGAAACAGTACGCGTTTCATATAACCCTACTATCACACCAAACTAGTTCTCACTACGTTCTCGAAAACGGGCTTCAACTGTGTACGAACGGACTGGACCTACTCAGAACCGTTTGGGATCTATTTACAAACTTCATCGAACGTACTCGAACGGGTAGGTCCTCTAGAACTTAGACAATGCTCAAAATGTTCTCGTGCTCGTCACGTTCTACAATTAGAACGAGTGACAATGTACTAACGACGAGCTGGACGTACTACGAACGGAACCGTCGTACTTCAATCCTACTAGGGACGCTTTAACAACGAGTTGAAGTGTCTGAGGACGTGTTGAGAACGAGGTAGAACTAATTGCAAACGGGTTTAAACTGATTAAGAACGTATTTAACACTGCTTATGAACGAGTTAGCAAAAATATAGCTATCACACCAAACAAGTTGCCACTGCGTTCTTCAAAACTGGTTTTAAACTGTGTGCGAACGGAATGAACGTAGCTGCAACTTTCTAAGGTCTATTTACGAACTTTATGATCGTTCTCAGACGGGAATGTGAATTTAGAACTTTGAATCGATTCAAAATTCGATGGCGACCATACCGTTCTGTAATCAGGTCAAGTTGACCTTCTACACTAAGGTACGCGTTCTACTACGTTGCACACCGACGTGGTGCGACCTGAACGAACTGCGAACGAGATGGACGTATTGAAGACTGTTTAAGAACGAAGAAGCTAATTATTTCAGACATATTTCCCGACCACAGCCAGATTGAGCCCGTTTTACGACGTTTTCGTAGGACTGGCAAGAACGGGTAAGAACTAGTTTGGTGTGATAGGGGGGTAAATTAGTTTATTGTACTGGATGAGCGTGGTGTAAAAGTGGTTTTGAAAAAAAGCAAATTTCTCTTTATGTAGGTAATTTGTGGTTTATGATTCTACATTGATTCTGAAAATACTGGTGTATAGTTTTTCAGTGTTTTAGAAATATTCAGATTTATACCCCCTTGTTTGATTTTGAGAGGGGTACTAGGAAGGCCATGTAAAATTCCTAGAATTTACAACCAATCATTTTGATATTTACAGGTAATCATTTACTTATCATGTCCTACGAAAGTAATAAGTTTCATCAAAGTTAGTCAACTGGTTGCTATGGAAACGGAGATCATATGTCAAAAAGTACACAATTTCGTCAAAATGTAAGACACCCCATGAGACGAAACACATATTATTTTAATGAAATGGGGAAGAAACACCATAAAAACATTTTAGAAAACTTATTCAGAGTATGTTTGATAATATTAAATCAACTGATGTTTTATCTTATCCACACAGTGAAATCTATTGCTCATGATTATATGGCAATGCAAATTAATTTAGAAAGGAGACGTGGCACTTTTCCAAAGAATTCTTAACTTGTGTCAAAATCTTTTAAGAAAATAAATAACCAATTGTCCTGTTATTTACAGATATTATTCACATCATTATGTTTGACTATCATGGAAAGTTTCATCAGTGTTGATTTACTGGTTACTATAGTGTGCAGATTTATACCCCTTGGTATGATTTTTAATGGGGGTACAATGAAAGCCATCTATAATTCCTAAAATATACAGCCAATCATCTTGATATTTACAGGTAATCGTCTACATATCATGTCTTACAACCATGACAATTTTCATCAATGTGTATCAATTGGTTGCTATGGAAACATAAAGCATTTTTTCAAAAGTACACATTAAGGGATGTACTATTAAAGCCATATATAATTCCTAGAATATCTAACGAATCATCTTGTTATTGACAGGTAGTTATCTACTCACCTGGTGTTCTTCCACTATAAAAAGTTCATAAATGTGGGGCAAATGGTTGCTATGGTAACATAAATCATTTGTTAAAAAGTATAAATTAGGGCGTACTATGAAAGCCATTTATAATTCCTTAAATATCAAAACAATCATTATGATATTTACAGACAATCTACTACTTATTATGTCCTACCATGATGACAAGTTTCATCAATGTGGGTCAAATGTGGGTAGAAATCTATTTATTAAAAAATTACACATTTCTTAAAATTTTAAGACACATCCTAAGACATTGAAAATCTTCATTGAATTGGGAGGAATTAGCATGAAAACATTTTAAAAAACCTATTTTGAGTATGTCTGATAATATTTAATCAATGGATATTTCATCTGGGCCATTTGATGTATTGTATTTGCTTATGATAATAAAACTATGCAGAATGCGGCTGTCACATTATGCGTAGGGACATAGTTAATTATGAACTGATCTCACTTAGTCATCTTTTATATAATTTGCATCAAAATCCTCATTCATAGATCTTTCAATGTCTACTTCTGTCAAAGCATCCGTTGCAATCTTTATGTGACTATATGTCTATGAGATCATCAGGTGGAATGGGTTGGTCTGGCCAATTTGGCTCTATTTTGCCATCAACAAGTTACCACGTCACTTGTAATAAACAAACTAAGAGATATATTAAACTATATTATACTATATTAATTATTATTAACTATTACACCCAATTAAAAATACTGGAAATCCTTCTTAATGAATTCTAAAAACAATGAACAGTTGAAAAAACCAGCAGACATAAAAAAGTTGAGAACAACAGCATGCATTACTCTGAGTGTAAAACATTCCGTTGATGACCAGTGATGGCAATAAAGCGTCCACTGCTTTGATTGATGAGATGTGTTAAGTTTTATGAAATGTTTCCATGCTTATTTCTCCCAAAATGATGAACATATTATGTGCTGAATGTCAAAGGTTGCATGCGTCTTAGATTTTTTACGAAAATGTGTACTCTTTTAGCAAATGATTTATGTTACCATAGCAACCAAATTACCAACATTGAAGGCACTTATTATACTGGTAGGACATATGTAAACGGATGATTACCCGTCAATATCAAGATGATTGATTGAATATTCTAGGAATTATACATGGCTTTCATAGTAACCCCTTAATGTGCACTTTTTAACAAATTATTTCTGTTATCAGAGCAACCAATAGACCAACATTGATGGCACTTGTCATACTGGTAGGACATGATGAGCAGATGATTACCTGTAAATATCAAGATGATTGATTAAATATTCTGGGAATTATACATAGTACCCCCTTAATGTGCAAAATTTAAGAAATGATTTCTGTTACCTTAGCAACCAAATGACCAACATTGATGGCACTTGTCATACTGGTAAGACATGATAAGCAGATGATTACCCATAAATATCAAGATGATTAATTGAATATTCTAGGAATTATACATAGTATTTTCTTAATGTGTATTTTTTAATAAATTATTTCTGTAACCATAGCTACCAAGTGTTAAACATTAATGAAACTTGCCATAGTGGTAGTGCATTATAAGTAGATGATTACCTGTAAATATCAAGATGAAAGGTTGTATATTCTAGGAATTATAGATGGCTTTCATAGTACCCCCCTTAAAATCATACCAACGGGGTATAAATCTGTTTACCATAGTAACCAGTAATCCAACACTAATGAAATTTTCCATGATAGTCAAAAATAATGATGTGAATAGCATCTGTTAATTTCAGGAAAAATGGTTACTTTTTTTCTTCAAAGAGTTGAACACAAATAAAGAATTATTTGGAAAAGTGCCACATCCCCTTTCTAAATTTACTTGCATTGCCATATAATCATCAGCAATAGATTCCACTGTGTGGATAAGATAAAACAGCAGTTGATTTAATATTATCTAATATACTTTGAATAAATTTTCTAAAATGGTTTCATGGTGATTCCTTCCAATTTCATGAAAATAATATGTGTTTTGTCTCACGGGGTATCTTACATTTTGACGAAAATGTGTACTTTTTAACATATGATCTCCATTTCCATAGCAACCAGTTGATCAACTTTAATGAAACTTGTCATTATGGTAGGATATGATAAGAACATCATTACCTGGGAAAAATCTAGATGATTGGCTCTATATTCTAGGAATGATATATGGCTTTCCAGGCACCCCCTCCCCTTAAAATTACACCAGGGGGGTATAAATAAGAATATTTCCAAAAACGCTGAAAACTAGACACAAATGATTTCAGAATCAATGTAAAAAAATAAACCATAAAATAACCTACATGAAGAGAAATTTGCTACTTTTCAAAACCACTTTTACACCACGCTCATCCAGTATTGGTAGTGACACAGAGTCAATAAATGTTTTCAATGACTCTGTTAGGTGGAGGAGCGTTCTATATGAAATATCTGCTGATTTGTGCTTCTGGAAATTATTTACCAACATCGTTTACCATCGATCTCTTATACAAAGGCCTTAAACATGTGTTTTGGATTGGGTGGACAGATATAGGAAGTGCATTGCAACTGGGGTGAATATTTTGAAGGAGAATGAATATTAGCATAAAACCTACAAAACATGATTACTACTACAGTCTGTTGACAGATGACACTACTTAATGTTAGAAATTTCCAAAACTGCTGCTTAAAGTACATTCTTTCTGAGACTAACATTTTATGATGGTCTCAGATTTTTTGTAAAAAACGCTGCTCCACCTAACTTAATCTTTGAAAATGTGTGTTGACTCAGAGTCACTCCCAATGGACCAATTTTTATGAAAATCAAACTGTTTAAAGCAAACTCTGTCTAATGTAAAGTTTGAACATCCAACTTCTCCTATTATGAAATCGAGAGCCAACTGTAGGAAACTTTTCGATCGGCCATTGCACTATAAAGCTACGTTCACACCAGCGGCGCTTTGATGGCACTTTCAAGCGGCTTGTAAAGCAGCACCAAAGCGTAACAAAGCTTGATTAACATGTAAATCGTAGAAAAGCTCGGAGTTAAGCGGGATATTCGGCAAGAGCGCCAAAAAATTTTAAACAGTTCAAAAATTTTGGGCGTTCTGTTACGAATTGATTAAAGTGCCGAGTGCGTATCAAAGCTTAACAAACCGTAAATAAGCTAAGCAAAGCTTGACCCAAAGCGTAGGAAAGCTTAAAGTCCCCGTGTAAAGTTTAAACCACTTTGGCTTATATCGTAGTCTTACCCAATGTTATCAAAGTGTGATATGTGAAACTTTTTTTTTAAATTTCAAAAAGTGGTTTTTGATAGACTTTTTGTTCCAGAATTTGTGAATTTATTTAAAACTAACTTTTAGAGGTCACATATATCTTTTAATTAGCCACAATTCATATCAATGCATAGCATTCATCCTCACATGTTTTTTGCCGAAAAAATTAAGAAAATCGGTTCATAAATAAGCGAGAAATGAACTTATCAGTGCAAGAAAATGGTTTCGAGAAAAATGCATTTCAAAATTTTAGTTCTCATAGAAACCAATGGTACAATGATATCTAAAACATAATATATTTTTCCTTTTAACCTAATTAGACAATCAACATTGATTGATTATTGAAGTCTAGCATATTGAGAAAAGATAGACATCGAACAAAAAATTTCAATTTTTTTCAAAAAGTTTTTGGTACCTTTGTGACATCACTAATGTTTCAAAATATTTTTGATATGCTAAAACATTGAAGTGGCCCATTAAATATGGCATTTTATTATTGAAATAGTGTGTCCCTTGTTCAATCTTTGCATTGGTGTTAAAAAGATAATCTTTTTTGAAATGCATTAAGAAATATTTGATGATTAAAAAATTTCAACTTTTTTTGAAAAAAGGCGGGAAATTTGAATATTTGAGAAATGAAATGCTCACAACATTTTTTTCAAAATTTTTTTCTTCTCAAAAATCTCTAAAAATTACTTTTTAAGTCATGACAAATAGTAAATGAATGATAAAAAAATATTTTCAAACTTTCAAGCTTAACAGAGCTCGGTTCAAAGCGGGAACCCCAGCCTCTTCATGGTCTGTTACCACTTGACACGCTTCGTTAAGATGTTTCAAGATTTGCTACGATCTGGCATGAAGATATGACAGGAGGTCAGACGCTTTCATCAGTATCTGACACTCTTTGTTACACTTTCATGAAGGACTTTCAAGCTTTCCAACGAATTGAGACGCTTAAATGAAGGATTAAAACGCTTTGTTAGGCTTTGTTTAGCTTCACAAGCTTCCTCACGCTCTCTCACGCTCTTTCACGCCGTGTGACAAACATCATATCTTCTTCAGATCGTGTTCTCGTGTTCTCTCGGGAGTCAAAGATTCAATGGTTTTATAGATCTACTGCATCTTAAAATAGTCATTGGATCAAAAGCGGCATGAAATCGGCTCTCGACATTTCCCAATGCGTGACAGAGCTTAACAGAGCGTAACAATGCACAATAGAGCTTGGCAATCGTATCAGAGCCTGATTTAAAGACATGTTAAACAGATAAACAGATAAACAGTCATTATTACATAATTATGAAATTAATAAGTCTGAAAATACAATTGGTCAGAATGAACTAAAACCTGCTTGAAACTGAAAAACATTGCATGCTCTATTCCACACAATTTGGAAGCTTTTGAAATTCGCAGTAACAATGAATAAGCAGCCTGTATATAATCATTGCATAGAAAACACTTCATGTAGTGTTTATCAGATGTATTGAGTTGACCAAAATACTCCTTTGTTTACTACATACTGGACTACATATTGGCTCCCTTACATATATGTTACTGTACATATTGTAGAATTAGCCCAATAGAGCAAAATCAACATCTTATATTGTTAGTACCTCAGTGTAAATACTCGCATCTGATTGGTCAATTAGCGGTCAACATTTTTGCCTGTACCTCACTTGTGCATCATGGGATATCATATTATTGACCGCGTATGTTACTGTACTACACTTGTGAATTATGGGAAATATGACGTCACAATGTTTACAGAAAAAAACATGGTAGTCCGACATTTTGTACACGTTGATGAAAGTGATATTTTGACTTTTCTACACGACGAGTATAGCAACAATACAAATAGAAACGCAAAATTAACATTAATTTACTAGTGAGTACGCAGTTATGTGCCGAAAACAGAGAGTTTAGCTTCCACTGTCTTCAGATTTTCTTAAAAATTATTGCTGGCGTGGTTCGTAGAAAAGATTGTGAAATGAAGCCATGATTGATGACTGTCGTATATATGAGTATTATTAGTTTCTTCTGACTAACAAAACAATTGTAGACCTCTCCATTCGGTCAACCGTCAAAATCATATACCTCGACTGTAAACCTTGAAACACTGTTGACCTCGACCTTCGGTCTCTGTCAACAGTAGCTTCTCGGTTTACAGTCTCGGTATACAATTTTGCCGGTTGACCTCTGGAGAGGTCAACAATTGTATACTATCAACGTAATAGACAGCTTGCCCAACCTTACAGGCAAACTATCATATACAAATTTGAAGATAAGACTAATGTTGTCACATTGAATTATGATAATAAGTAAATAACTTTTTGTAATATTTTGCACGGGTATAACCATGCACGGTCGAATAATACACAGGGTTACTCTAAATTGTAGAAACATGAATGTGATTCTAACTTATAATTAATTAATTCATATATCCCAAGGATTTCACCTGTCCCCTTCCTGACCAAACCTTGTTTTATTTTTGATTTTTTACAATGAAATAAATTTCTCTATCATTTTTATTTCCAAATGTTATTGACATGAGAACTCAAATGATCAATGGGAAAACAATGCTTAACTTGCACTGAAATAGGTATTCCAGCAGGCCTAGGAAAATATGGCTAGAAAAGGGCTACAAGTGGACAAACTATTCCCCCTGAAAAGTATTTTAAGGGTCAGGTTACAAAATTCGTGATTGCATTGAAAAGCTTCGAATGCTAATTTACAAGAATGGATGTATTACAAAAAAAGAAAATATGAAGAATTCATATCGTTTATTTTGAGTGATTATTTAGTGTCAAGTTGTGTCTCTAGTGACAGCATGTAACTGAATATCTAATTAAGTGACCTAAACTACAGCAGCTAAAATAAGCATACCGAAATATTATAATTTAGTATGATTCAGAAAAAGGGATTATACAGTTATAACGGATTAGCAATTTATCTATTATCTTACAATTTAGCTCAATTCTTGAATTTGAAGATCTACTGCTATACTGTTTATACTATATGCATTATA